TACCTGAGAGAGTGGCAAGAACCGCGATACCGGGCGTGTGCCTCCAGGAAAATTTTGTCGAGTCATTCACATACTATTTATTGTAATAAATATATCTACTTTGGCTCGGTAGATAGAATTCATCGAATCTGAGTGATTTGAAAAAGGGAGTACAATGCACCATATTCCGGTAACTGTGATTTTATTGTCAATGCTCGGGTCGATTAGTGTCTATTGCCGAAAGCAGCTGTGTTGGACGCACATCAAGGTCGTCAACGATCAAAGATCATATGTGGCTCTTGCTTCAGGCCTTAAATCGATTAAAACATCCTGATTTAACCCGCCCCCCCCCCNCCTGTTTGTCACTTGCTGCGTTGCTTTTTTGTAACAACAGGGAGCCTCCTGGATCCAATCTGACAAAAAGCGTAAAGATAATACCGTTCGATTTCTAGACGAATGCCCATTGAGAAGAATTAAATCAATCAGAAATAAGATTCATTCACCCTCTCATCTCTCATAAACCGCTAGACGATACACATATACGCGTGGGAAAGTTCGTATGTATAGAATAAAATCTATATAATCGTAGTTTCTGAATGCTGATATGCATTCACGACACCAGGTAGAACGGAATATTAGACTTTTTAAAATGAAAACGTGATGAAGTGTATGATCAATTCTCCGGTTTATTTCACAGAAACGAACAAAAGGACTAAGTATCGTTAGTCATAATATTATGGGAGGGGACTATGAGCAGGGTAGAAGCATCGGATCTTGGTCGCCTGTGAATCTCACGATTTTAAGCGTGGTTGGCATTGCAGATTTCCACAAATTCCGGTTTCAATGAGGCACCTCCAACGAGAAAACCATCCACGTCCGGCTTCTTTGCCAACTCTTTGCAATTTGCCGCTGTAACCGAACCTGCAAGAAGGAAAAAATGAGGACAGACACGATGAAACTGTCCCAAGGAACCAAGTGGTAGATAAATTGAATGTCATAAAGGCACGACCCTAAAGAAACTCCTAACGAATCAAGATGCAACGAGGATCATGTTTATCCATAAAAGCTTCACTTTGATCTAGGAAGTCACATTGAAAATACCATTCAAAATGATCCCGGAAAAATCAGTAGATGCCTGTGCATACTGGATGAGATCCCACATTCATTCAGAGTCAAAACTGCCGCATTAGATCTCTCTCTGGAAGTCAAAAATGACAATATGATTCCCGACAAAAAATTAAAATAGAAATGCTGAAAATGAATGCGTCTAACCTCCGTAGATGATGCGCACTGAATGAGCGACTTGTGGGGACACGTTCTTCTCGAGCCATTTTCGGACTGATTGATGAACCTCTTGTGCCTGTTCAGGAGTAGCCGTCTTCCCCGTTCCGATGGCCCAAACCGGTTCATACGCAATCACAACACGAGACCAGTCTTCGACCTTAGGAATACCCTCTGAAAAGGTGTATAAGTGAGGAGAACAGAGCAAAACATTAGATGGATAGTCAATGGTAAACAGTATTTGTATTTGTAGAACTTGTGCAAACTTGTACACTTCAGTTACGGTTTACAACCACAATGAAGTAAACGAAAACTGTGGAACAGGCCGAAAATGACAGATATGAGGGGAGATAGTTCACAGAGGGATCTTGCAATATTCCTAGCACCTATTTCTTCTCCAGGTCACACCTGTCAGTGTCTTCAATCAGCGATAATTTTCATCCCTTGAACCCTAATCTAGAAGGCTGGCTACACCAACCGAAGGATTTTTCATATTCCTGAGCTGCATCGCTTGTTCCAGCCTTACTCAACTCGTGAAAAAACAATACAGAGAGGTAGAAGATGGCCAATCATAAGCAAAACACGACCGAGCCATCGGAGGTGGTTCAGGGCGATTTCCTCTTTCAAACAATGGCTGTCAGCACCCATACCGCGTCGAACCCATATCACTGCTCACTCGTTTTTCCCACCGTACATGAGTGAATTGCTCAAAGAATTCCGCCAGAATGATTTTATCCCTTCACTTTGGGGCACGACATACGTCGCGCTAATCCACACCGCAGCCTTTGACTCAAGTCCGACCCGCAAGGCAGTGGGAGTTTATGGGGTTTTCTTTGGGAGTCCTACCTGGATCATTCGGCTCAAACGTCTAACCTACAACGCAATGGGGCGTAGATTCAAATGGACAGCCAAAAGATAGTAACCAAAACCGGCGCATGAAAATGCATGTTTACTGGTTGTAAAACCTGAAACTGACGAAAGTCTGGAAAAGATCACACACGGACCTACTTCAGCATCCGGATTGGTTGTGGATTATAGGATAAAGCAAAACACTGAATTAATGTTTGGGCTTTACAGGCTCTGGTAGTTTGACATTCACCCAGTTTCACTTTGTACAGCCATGAACCTTGCTCTTTTGTGCGCCGGTTTTGGTACTCTGTCTTTTGGCTACCCATCCATATAATTCACAAAATGCGTTTATCAACGCGATAAGGACAGGTCGAAAAAAGGAAAAAGCAAGCAATGCGACATAACTAATTCGTCCTTATCCTCTTTGATCTCGATTGTAGTCGAACGACAACCAGGGCTGCTTCCAATAGAGTGACCAATCACGGATGTGTGGTCAATATGGCTCGATAGACAGCAAACGATTAAAAACGTTCGTGTATTGACTTAACATAAATACAATGACAAGCGTTGCAATTCAATTCACCGATTTCACCGAAATTCACCAAATTGGATAAGTAGAATGAAAAGAAAAATCAACCGATGTACCTGCGTAGACATTTTACTCGCGACAAGCACAAATGAATCATTGGTGAATAAACAACCAACAAAGATTTTAAATGAAAAATGAAAGATCACAATAGAGCAAGCCGAGCACAGTGATGAGTATCGTGCTACACCGTTGATATTAACTTTCTGTTTGTTGACGGACCAATTATAGACTCACTTTTGATCGCTTCCAACTGTCGGAAACAAACTTGTTCTGTTTTTCCGGCCTCCCGCTCGTCCAGTTTTTCACCGATGCAAGGAACCACATTAATTCCGCTTGTCAGGGCATGATTCACTTTCTCACCAATGAGCTAAAAGATTAATGAACAGTTGGTATTGTATATTCCAACAATTCTATTACTTTTACTGTGTAGGTATCACCTTTATAAATGAACATGCTTATGTTTTAGTCAGAAGATAAGCGTAGACCATTAACATAGGACAAATTTTGAGTGACAAACAAATTTTGATAGTAAGGGACTTCTGTCACAAAATGACATATAAATTTCTAGCAACATACACCGTTTCGTTCAAACTAACCTCGTCGGATTCTCCGAAAATGTGCCGGCGCTCGGAGTGACCAAGAATGACCCAATCGCAACCGCAATCGCGGATCATGGCAGGACTAAACAACGGGTGAAAAAATGTAAAAACCGACTGAACATCTGAACTCTTTTCAGTGGCTCTATACCAAGCACAGATAGAAATAACACGTTATTCGTTTTCGTTTTCTGGAATTCGGTTGATTAATAAATAATTATCTGTAGCTGTTACAATTGTGAAATTTGAAAATAAAAGGAAATTATGGGTCTTCAGTCATCCAAACTAGTTATTTTTAATGACACCTCAATTTGACTGTGATGCTTACGGTTAGCATAGGCTGCTCTAACACGGGGTTGCATTACAAACATTGTCCTTCAAATACTCTATTTTGAATCTGGTAATTGAAGGAACACATTTGCAACGGGACTTTATCGAGCACATAAGACGGAAAATGAGACGAGAGTTTTAGACCCACCAAGCATCTTGTGAGGAAATACGTCTGACAGCAAAAATGAATCCTTCGTTTAGTCGACCGAAATTATACATACAAGAAAAGAGTTTAACTTCCTTTTTAAACCGTCTATATTATATATATTTACCACCGGCTTGAAAACAAGCATGGTGCCAACGCAAC